TCCCCTCCTGTTCTAAGAGCAGACTCCCAGCTGGGGCGGTTAGGTCTGTGCCAGTGGCCTGCCCCAGCCCCTGTGCCAGAGCCCAGGGGGCCCCAGTGCATGGACCGCGCTCACTGTCAAGGACTCAGGGAAGAGCCTGCCGCTCTGCTGCGCCACTCTCTGCCCTCTTCCCCCAGCCATCCCTCTCTTTCCCTTTGGCTATAGACCTCATACTCGGCTGACACAGCCATGCAGCCCAACGCCTGCTGTTATCCCAGCAAACCTTGACCCCCGTGGGATGTCCCTTCCAATGTCATGACCTCTTATCCCTGACCTCTCAGGCTCCACCTCCCTGCACTGCAAGCCACCTGCCTACCCCTGACCACACCCTGAGCCTTGTAATCCACTGACCACACAATTAAGACACCTGCCTCTCGCCAACACCGTGTACACATCCAGTTTATTGACTTAATACTCCCACCCCATTGTTTTTTAACCCCATCAGGACCTCCCACCCATAGTCATTCCCATTTTCTTTCCATCACAGGCCCCAGGGCCCAGCCCCTAGGTCAATTTCACTCCAATACGCTGCTCTTCCCTGGCCCCATTTCTTTGTGTCACACGCTCAGGGTAAAACCTCTGAGTCAACTGGATGAAACCAATTGTTTGCCTTTCTTGTGCCTGTCCTGGGCTACTGAACGCCACTGGGGGAAAACATACAGCCCTGCCAGTCTGGTGCCCTCTGAAGTTAATGCCCACCCATCTCAACTGAAGCCTCAGTGCTTCACAAATTCCAGCTAAAAAATAAGAAAAGCCATTTTCTAGTTGCCAGAAATGTAAGAAGAAGAGGAGGAGGAGGAAGAAGAAGAAACTTGACCAGATGAGTTGAGAGGTGAAGTCTCAGCTCTCAGGCACGCAGAGAGTTGGATCTGCTTCCCTTTATGTCAGAGCTGCTGAGGGCAATGCTCCCCATGAAACAGGACAAAAATCCTCATCCCCAGCCCCAGCCAGGACACAGAGGAGGGCCACGTGCCCCAAGCTCCAGTGGGAGATGAGGGTCCCAAGTCAGCAGTGTGGTGTGCGTGGTGTGGGAAACCTGAGCTGAGAAGCTAGCATTAAAGTCCATCTGGACCTAACAGAATCTCCAGCTTCCAGCAAAACCAAACATGACCTTGTCCCTCTGGGATGCCTCCCCCAACCAGAGTACTGGGGGTTCTCACGGAAAACATTTCCTGCTAAAGAGGAGCTCAAGGGGGGAAAAAAATCCTAGGTATCTAGCCAAGGAAAGCCAACAGATAAAAGAAACAAACTCAGGGCCCAGAAAGTAGAGATAATAGAGCAACCTAAAAGGAAAATTAAAATAAGAGTGTGTGAAATGTTCAAACAAAATAAAGGAATAAAAACTATAAGACAAGAACAACTAATTATGAAAATGGCAGAGTTTAAAGACGATCAAAGTTTTAAAGTGGCACTAAATTAGAAATCTAATATGACTGAGCATAAATGAAGAGAAAAAAATGGACTAAATCTAGAGACAGATCTGCAGATGCCGTCCCTGTTGACTGAGATGGAAACCAGAAGCGGGAAATTAATAAACGAGGAAAGAATGAGAAGCTACAGCCATGGCAGCTCATTCTTTTATCCCCAGTGGTCAAAGGATAAAACAAAGGCGCTGGAGCTCAAACACACAAAGGAACAAAGCCACATTTGCTGACTCACCAGGCCAGAGAGCAGACACCAGGAGAGAAACCCACTGAGTGGTCTGCTAAGAGGGAGAGTCAGCAGACTCTCTAGAAGATTCTGGAAGGACTGGTGGGGCTGATCAAGGATGGAGAACTAGCGCTCTGGATGGGACAGAATGAGTTCCTGGGTCTGTACACAACTGGTTAAAACAAGCTCCGTGTTCCTGGACCAGGGGTGTCTTCACTCAGGCCTGACCCATCGGGGTGACTCCAAGTCCATGATCAATACTCAAGATGGATACCAGCCATAGGTTAATGTTTATCCCAATGACGATTTCAAACCTCTGCCTACCTCTGACCTCACTACTTCACCCCACACTCAGCACCTGCAATCGCCTCCGGACAAAAACCACCTCAGAGCACATGGAAGGAATGCCCTCTCTTTTCTGACATGCTCCCATTCCCAGCCCATTTCCCTTAAATGTCACAACAGAGGGTTTGGGTTTTCCTTCCTAACTAATGTCAGAGTCTCTGCTTATGCCCTGGCTCCCATTCCCCACCTGCTTCTCATGGAACTGATGTCCTGTTCTGTTCTCTCTCCTGCATCTTCACTCCTTCTCTGCACCCCAAGAGCCTTTAAACACATCTAATCCCCTCCTTCCTTAAAAACGCCTTCCTTGGCCCACACACCTTTCCAGAGAAGGCCACCCTCTGCTTGTGTTGCCTTCATACCAGCCCCACGGCTCCCATGGCCTCCATGCCCACGCGGTACCCTCCCACGCCCACTCTCAGCTGAGTGGGAACACAGCAGCTCCCGTCACCCTTTGTGCCATGAGTGAAATATGCAGCTGGGGATCTTGGCAGCCCAGGGGAAGATCATAACATTGCTCAAGAGAAGTCTAGCTCAGCCTGGCTAGGTACGCAGCACCCCCAGGCACTGGGCCAGCTTCTGCCAGCCTTGTGGCTGGGTGTGGTCTTCACACCATCTGCCCAGGCTGTGGGAAGGACAGGCTACCATGATTTCCCCCAGGAGGAGCTTGCACAGAGTATTCAGATAGGCACCCAGGGGATGCCTAGCTGTCTGTTCTGTCTGACCCCCAGGTCAGAGCTCACTCATCAGGGCTCAAGGAGCAGCATGGTTTCAGACACCCTCTTCTTGCCAGACTCAGCGTCACCACGAGCCATCTCTGGCCGGGTAATCCAGAGATAGGTGTCACTGCGGATGGCATGGAAGCCCACATCCAGGGCCAGCGAGCTGCCCACATCTACCCAGGAGTGAGGAAAGGCCATTCAGGAGGGGGAAATAGGCACAAGGGCAGAATGTGGGTACAAGTGGGCAAGTGAGAGGCTCCAGAATTGGCATGAGGACAGGGTCCTCATGATGGGGGACCCAGTGGATGATCCAGGGGTGGGGCTGCTGAGCCCAGGGATCCTGCAGGGGCAGGTGGGGGTCTTGAAGCTTTTGTCTCTGGAGTGGGAGGTGCCCAAGTGATTCCAAAGGGCAGCCAAGGTTCAGAACCACTGACAAGGAGGGGGAAGAACAGAGGGCCTAAGAAGGAGTCCTGGGGGCCAGTTAGGGAGGTAATAATGAGACTAAAATGGATGGCAAAGGGTGCAGGATATCCCAGAAGGGAAGCAAGAGATGGGCTTGGGAAAGAAGGTGAGGTTCTGGCTGCTGGAGAGGTCAGAACAGAGCCTGAGAAGAGAGCACAAGCACTGTTGGGGCCTGGTCTCCTCTGGTGACCTCCTGGGTCACTGTTCACTGTAGACCCTCAGAGGGCCAGGTCTCTTCTGCACCAATCTCTGTGGCCTGCCCTGTTCTCAGGGCCCGGCATGGCTCTCCGGGCTCTGCTCAGGGCCCACCAGGCTAGTCCTATCTAAGGTCATCCTCATAACTAGACTTTGACCACAGCCTCCTGGAGGGTACCTACTTCCCAGGCACACTCATGGCATGGTGCGGGCACCTCCCAACATGCACATGGCCATGGGCACCTGAAGTCCCAAGAAGCTCCACCAACGAGGGCACCTTGCTTCTGACCCAAGGACTGCCAAGGAAGATGGGGAGTCTGGGCCCCCAAAGGCAGGAGTAGGCCCTCTCTCAGTCTGCGTGACCAGAGGCAGGCCGAAATCTTCCTCCTCTGATGGCATCCCCCGGGGCTACATAGTAGTGATCCCTAGGCCTCTGGCCACTCTGGGTGGTGGCTGTCCTCCCCCCACCAACCCCAGCCTATGCAGGCCAGCCCAGCCGTCCCCACCCACCCCAGCCCACACTTCCAGAAAGAACAGCCTGGAGACATTATGTGTATAGAGCAAAGAGTATTGGACTCAGGGTCAGGAAACCAGAGGATCTTGCATCAAGGGACAACTCTTATCTGTTACTCTGAAAGGTCTCCTTGAATATAAAACCACCACACCACCATGGGGCTGGTTTTCACTCAGAGGCCAAGGCGTCCCTGAAGCCTTGGGGGTGCCTCCCCAGGAGGGAGGGGCCTCGGGTGGTCCCTGAGGCACTGGCGTTTACCCTGAAGGGCGGGTTAAGAGTTGGCTAGAGAGAGTGTGCTGCAGAATGTTCTCTAGTCAGGGGACCCAGGGAGGGCAAACTGCAGACAGGAAAAAATTAACCTCTTCCCTGGGGAGCTGGCTCCCTCCCTCGGCTGGCAGCCGTGGCGTCCTGCGGGACCCCGCACAGAGCAGGCGCACAGCGGGTCAGGGAGAGCTGGTGGGTGACCACTCTGCTTCTCACGAGCAGTGGGACTTGTGCAAATTATCTGAGCGCTGGAGCCTGTTTCTTCCTGCAGTCCACGGAACTCACACTTGCTTCTTAGGGTTGAGGCAAAGAATAAAGGGGACAGAAGGCACAGAGTGATTAAAGAAACCTCCAGACTTAAGAGACACCCCAATAAAGGGAAGCTGCTCGTACTTATGTCCTTTGCCGAGCTCCCCACTGCATCGTTAGTGGTGTAGAACCTGCACAATAAAAGAAAGGGAGACGTGGTGTCCTTCCTTTTTTTTCTATAGATCAGGTCCAGCAAAGATGGTCTGAAACTCCAGCCGCGTTTACTAAGTGAGGCCGTCAAAGGTTGGGACTCAGAATTTCCAGTCTACGTTAACAGCCACAGCCCAGACGTTTGGCAGTGAGCGGCAGAATTCCACAAGCAGGCTCCGGGCGGTGCCTGGGTGTGGCCAGGGAGCCCCAGGAGGGACCCAGAGCCAGGCGGAACCCAGAGGGGAAGGGGTGGGGCCAGGGGCGGTGCTGGGTGGGGCCTGGGGCCCCTGCTTTTGCCACCACACCCAACACCCAACCCCAAGGACCTGGCCTGCTCTTGTGGGAGCCAGTCCTGTGGAATCTCAGAGTAGAGGAAAGGCTGACCGGTAGATCTTCATCTCCCTGGGGAAAGGCGATCGGGAGAACAAGATGGCCTGGTGGAAAGCCTGGGTAAGTGGGGAGCAAGCAGCCGCAGAGGGTAGGGTTCCTGCAGGGTTTTGGTGGAGAGAGGTCTGCTCAATCAACAGTCACGCTGTCTGCTGGCCAAGCACCAGGCTGCCCACTGAGGAGGCAAGAGAGAAGAAACTGCCCCAGCCCTAGAGATGCTCACGACTAGGACAGACAGATAAAGGAACCTTTTTTTTTCTTTTTACGATTTTTTTATTTATTCATTTGAGAGAAAGAAAGACAGAGAGAGCACAAGCAGGGGGAAGGGCAGAGGGGGAGGGAGAAGCAGACTCCCCTGCTGTGCAGGGAGCCCGACATGGGGCTCGATCCCAGGACCTGGAGATCATGACCTGAGCCGAACACAGACACTTACTTAACCATCTGAGCCACCCAGGCGCCCCCAGATAAAGGAACCTTGAAATGCACTGAGGGAAGCTGAGGGGTTGGGGGAACCCAGAGGAAGAGCCACTGCAGGGAGGTGTTAGGCTGCTCGAAGCTAGAGGGTATCATGTTTGAGCGAGATGTGCATGTGTGTAGTATGTGTGCACATGCATGTGTTTGAAGAGAATCAGGCAGATGATTCCTTGCAGAGGGAACAGTATGTGCAAAGGCCCAGAAGGGTGGGAAGCTTGGCTTCGGAGAGTAGTTCCTCATGGCTTTAGGGCCATGGGTGGAAGGGCAGAGGAATGGGGGGAGATAGACCTAGAGAAGCAGGCAGGGCAGGTCCTAAAAAGCCTCACATGGCAGGCTGAGGGGCTTGGGTTTTACCTCAAGAGCAGTGGGGAGCCACTGAAGGGCTTTTAGCTGGTGAGCAACATGATCAAATCGGCTGATGTTGGAGGCTTCATCAATGCCCACACCTTAGGGCATGGGAGGGGAGGCAGTCCTCCAGGAATCCATGGTGTTTATTTGTCAAGATTGAGGAGAGAGGAGAGAAGGCAAGAGGGCCTGGCCTACAGGGGCCTCAAGTGTCTGAAATCTATGCTTTATAGAGTGATGGAGACTGAGATGGGGAAGACAGCACAGCCTATCCCCCAGTCTCCCACCTCACCGCTGAATGAACAGATTCTTGGGAGTGTTTCATCTGGGTTTGAGTCAGAGGCCATCTTGTGCTAAGGAGGCACAAGGAGGCTCAGCGGATGCCCAAGGTTGCCACACTAGCAAGTGGTAGAGTCTGGGTTAGAATCTGAGCAGCCCAATTCCAGAGCCCAAACTGTGGGCCTTGGCTGCCCACAGCCCACAGGAGAGCTGGCTTGGGGCAGTAAGATCACAGGCAAAGGTGACTGGCTCAGGACCAGATGTCCTCTGGGCCGCCAGTTGGACCAGGACCAGGACTGGGCGGTGGGGGGGCGGGGGGTGAGGGTGTGAAAGATCAGCTAGAGGGGCCCCGCCTGCGCCTCTCTTACAGAAACGAAGTTCTATCTCCTGGGTTCCCCCAGGGCAGCCTGGTGACAGGGGAAGGCAAAGGTGTGGTCTCCCCAGAACAGAGCTCTTACCGACAGAGGCACAGGCAAGACTGAGTCACCTTCTCAGTGCAAATGTTCCTGTCTGGACAGGCCCACTCCGGGCATGGGGCCCGGGCAGATTCTCTAACAGCGAGGCCTTTCAGATAGGAAGATCTGGAGCCCTACCCCTCCCTGCTGATATTCAGGGGTCTGATTCCAGATAATTGTACTTTTTATCCCCTAAAACCATGGAGTGGGAAGAGAGGCTGAGGCTCCTCGGTGCCTCAAAATCACAACCCCCCAGGGAGGGGGTTGACAACCATTTCCCCCGGAGCCGACCCTGGACCTGCTGAATGGGCTGCTCCCAGTGACTCCGTCCTGTGGTCTGGCCGGTCCCTGCTGCACAGCGCCGCGTGGCGGCTTGGGGGGCATTGAGAGAGCCCCTCACGGGTGGTCCCCAGAGCTTGCACTGCTGGACCATCTGCTTTCCTGTGGGCAAGGCTTCCTTCAGTGCAGAGTGCCAGGAAAGTTCACTGTCCCGAAAAGGTTGAGTCATCAATAGAGTGGGGGGAAGTAGAGAGAGCTCAGCTTCTGAGTCAGGCTGTGGGTCAAGAGCTAGTGCCCCCCCTTACTAGCTATGTTGCCTTGACAAGCCCTCTGAGCCCAGCTCCTTTGCCTGTAAAATGGGGCATTCATGGTTCGGAGAAGTCAAGGAGTGTGAGCATTACACTTCTGGCCCCTGAAGCCTCTAACACAGAGGCCTGGCACAAAGGAGCCACTCAAATGGCTAAGGGTAGTAAGACCAGCTCAGACTCCCCAAACAAGGGACACTGTGTATGCGTGCATGCAACTGGGCCACCTCTGGGACCACACAGGCTCTTCTGGAGGGAATTTGCACAAAGGATTATTTCTAATACTTCTTGCTGAGAAACACAGTGCTAAAAAATGAGATAGGAAATTTTCGTTTGAAATTCAAGCAAAAGAAATAGAAAAACTTTTCACCTCTTACTCAAAAGCAATATCCCTATAGATAGCCCCACAGATGGTAATTGGCCATGTATTTTCAGGATCTAATCGGGGCTTGAAGGATGTGTGGATGGATGGATGGATGGATGGATAGATAGATATAGTGATTAAATGGATGGATGGAAGGGTAGTTAGATGGATGGATGGATGGATGGATGGATGGATGGATGGATGGATGGAAGGAGGGACATGGTGATAAAATGAATGAATAAATGGATGGATAGGTGCAAGAGTGGATGTGGCCATTGAGTGTCTGCGTGGAGAATGGATGGATAGTTGAGTGAATGAGTGGGTTGGTGGGTGGGTAGGTGGGAAAGCAGATGAGCGGATTAGGGCAGACAGAAGAAGTAGGTGAATAGGTACATGGGACACCAAGCACGATGGGACGAAACTCCTTTCCACTGAGGAATCTCTGAGTCTTCTTCAAATTCAATGCCTATCTTCAATCTCCCTCCACTCCTCTACTATCCTTCTCCCAAAAACACATACTTAAGAAAGATCCTCCGTTTTCATCTGAGAAATTCTACAAGGCACAAGTCTAAAGAGCCCTCAGGCAAACCCTGGATTACAGAGACTTGGCTCAGGTCAAGGGCCCAAGTATTTTGGTTATTGTGTTTATTCCACAATTTTCAGAGCATCATGCAGTTCTTTCTAAACCTAACCTTCTGTCCTCCATGAGCCTGTGGACTTGCAAAGGCCCTAGGCTATCAGGATGCTCAGCCGGGTGCCCTGGCTCTCTACCTTCTTGTGACTTCTCAGAAAGAAGGCAGCTTGAGCTCAAACCATGCCTCTCTTCCCAACCTTGTCTGCACACTCTGAAAGCAGCACATTCAGCTCCATGAAGCCTGTCCTTACTCGCTCATTGTCCTTGTCGTTTGGGGGTAGGTGGTTCTTTCCCACTGATGGCACTGCTTGTCGATGGTGCTGGAGGGAGCTCGGGGGTGGGGGTGGGCAGGGCCTGCTGCTTGCCCTCAGATGACACTAGCTGGGAGAGGCCTGGCCTGATCCAGAGCCCACACCCCAGGGCGGGGGCAGGGGCAGGAGAGGTTTTGTGGCTTCTGTGGTTCTGGCTGATGCTAGCCTATGAATCAAAGAGCCATTCTGTGGAGGTGACATAGCAGTCCCACAGAGCCCAGAGGGAAACCAGCAACCCCTCACAGCCAGGCCAGGCAGGCTGTGGTCTCTCAGGGTACCCTCACTTAATGGTAGCTTCCCTACACAGCTGACTCCTCTGAATAGCTAGCCTGAGTCACAGACCCCCCAGGGGATTTGATGCAGCCTGCCAAACCCCAAGAAAGCTACCTCCCATAGGGCATACTGCCCTTCATGTTCCTTTGTACCCCCTGTACTCACACCATGCGGTGCCCCCACCCCTCTTCCTCCTAAGCTCCCGTTACTCCAGGTAAACCTCCCCCCAGCCTCGGAAATCTTATCACAAAAGATCCAAGAACAGGTCTGGCAAGAAGGCTGAGGCAGGGAAAACTGCAGGCCCCTTCTGAAGACAGCCAGGTGGCCAGGAGAGCACAGCCGTGCTCATTATTGTACCTTGTCACCCCAATAAAACCACTGCAGGTCCTCTCTCGGGCCAGCTCCCCCTCCTAGGACTTCCTCCCGGTTCTTCCCTCCTCCCGACACCAAAGGCTGGGTGGTGGCTCTGAAAGTGACCACAGTGTCAGCCACTTTCCAGAGTCGGCGAACCCCAACTCCGCAGGACTGGCGCTGGTGCTGAAGGCTGAGATTCCTCTCTCAGGATGGCCCTGGATGCTGACCAGCTTGGCCGGGCCTCACCCTCCTCAAGAGGCCTCTCCTTCCTCCTTGAGGGTCGAGCTGACAGGACAGGCCTCCCCTTAGCCAAGGCAGCTAAAGGGCACATGGGGCCTCCACCCCCACCCCCCAGGTTTCCACAGCCCCAACGTGAGAGAGCTATATGGCAACTTGGTGCCAAGTGGACCAAGGTGCCCCTTCCTCAACACATATCTGCTGGTAACTGTCATATCCAGAAGCTGCAGACCCCCTCGGGCCTCCCTTCATCCAGGATGGACGGTCAGGGAGAGCCATGCCAAGCAGGGGCAGGAGGGACAGGAGCCTCAGCCGCCGGCCTGCAGGGGCTGAGCTGGTGCTCACTCTGCAAGGCAGGCCGCACGATGGGCTGGTGATCTGGTCTGCCCCCTGTGCCCCCACCCCCAGCCTTCCCAATTTGAATAAGCCTGCGTTCTTTTGCAGATGGAACAGGAGGGGGTTACAGTGAAGGGCAGCCCCCACTTTAATCCAGACCCCGACGCAGAGACCCTCTACAAAGCCATGAAGGGGATCGGTAAGTGGATGTCTGCAGACCTTCCCCCGGAGCACTGGGACTCTCTGGGGTCTGTCCGCTCTGCTCAAGACCGCGAGTCTCACAGCTCTGGAGGGGGGCAGCCAGGGAACACCATGTTCCCAAGACGGACTCCCAGCCCACACGGGCGCCCCCACCCCAGGAATGGTCTACGTCCCCCCCGCCCACGGCTGGAGAAGAGGGAGGGTGGCTGTGCCTCCCTGAGTCATGGGGGTGAGAAGGGGACGCCATCAGCTGTGCATGCCTGTGCACCCTTGCGTAGGCAACTTTACCCCGTTTGTCCGAGCTTTCGTACTCACAGAACGGCCTCAGGGACTCTGGACCTGTGTGTCACTGTGAATTCTGGATGGGATGAGTTTGGGAGTTCTGCGGGGCTGAACTGGGCCCCCGCTCTGCTTGGGCTGGGCACAGGCAGCCTCCTTCCGGTCTCCAAGATGCACATTCCTGAAGCCAGCCAGGGCTTGCCGTCCTTTCTAGATGAACCTTGGCAGCATGTTCATGCCCTCTACTTCATGTGATATCTCTGCTGTTACCTCCACTTCCCAAAGGAGAGAGCAGATGCTCTGGGCAATGAGGCTGCTGGGGCAGGACTCAGATTCAGTTTTCCGGGCCCTCGGTCCTGACTTGCCCCCACTGCCACCAGCACGAGAGAGGACCAAAGGCCCTGGGGGATGTCCAGAGCAGATCAGATGATCAGAGGGTCTTCAGATTCTACCACTCTGAGACTGGCCTTACGCAGCACCCCCCTGCTTGGCCACCAAGCAGCTGCCCTCCTCCCTCCTCCTCAGCTCCCTTAGGGGACAGTGGGAGTGCTCACACTGTGCACCCCTGTAGGGACCAACGAGCAGGCCATCATCGATGTGCTCACGAAGAGAAGCAACGCCCAGCGGCAGCAAATCGCCAAGTCCTTCAAGGCGCAATTTGGCAAGGTAAAAGGGGAACAGGAGGCTTTCCTTGGGGGCTAGGGGTACTGCTGCGGCCAGAGACAGCCTGGGAGGCAGCTTTGTTCTGGACAAAGCCCTTGTCTAGAGGCCAGCTTCTGAAAGCGTGGGGCATATAGGGCATACTGATACTAAAAATATTCTTGTTTATCTGAAGTTAAAATTTCTCAAGCCATCCTGTGTTTTATCTGGTTACGTTACTTAGGGCTCCCCACAGCCCTGGCTTGGCAGCAAGACTTCTGCGGTCCACTCCACCCCTCCACCCCCGTCTCTCTCACCAAGCTCCTTTACCTTGGCTCCATGGCCCCATCCTTGAGCTGCGTCCCTGCCTCTGCACTTTGCTCACCCTGTTCCCAGAGCCTGGGATGCTCTCTTCCCCCACGGGCAGAGGTGCCGGCCAGCCTCTGTTCCATCCTGTGGCGTGGAGCGCTCTCTTCATGGCAGAGCTTCTGTGTCTGGGCCTGCTCCCCTCTGCCTCGAGGGAGCTCCAGGGGCATGGAGCACACACGCTGGACCCTTTTCTCTCTTCCCTCCCTCCACCACCCAGGGATAGAGCCAGGCATTGGGTGTACAACCTAAACACGGGAACAAAGGCACACATAGCCACGGCTGCCAGAAGCCTCTGTCACCGCGTGATGTGCGCTGCGCTTTTCTTTTTTCTTTTCTTTTCTTTTTTTTTAATTTCTTTCTCTTAATCGTCACACCTGTGCATTATTCTCTACATTCAGCATTAGGGGAAATTGATGTTCTAAGAGTAAGCTCTAAGAGTAAGTGCCCAAGATCCCAGAGCCTGTAAACAACAAGGTTGGGATTTAAATCCAGGTCTGACAAGGCCCTCGGTCCTTTGCTGTGCTGTGCAGATCAGCAGTGTGTGGCCTTGTGGCTTCTTGTGGAGACTAGCGCCCTTAGAAGGAGGCATGCATGAGATAGATTCCTTAATTCATTCCTGCATTTATTGAGTGCCCACGGGCTATGACAGGATGTGATGGTGAGCAACGACAAACATGTATTCCGGGCTTATACTGTGCCCAGCGCTGCCATGAGAGTGGAGTCGAGCCACACACATCTCTGCACCAGTCCCCTAAGAAATGGTATAACGCAGGAGTTATGAATGAATGGAGCTGTCTCCATTTCATAGGTAAGGATAATGATGCTCAGAGAGGCTACGTTGCTGGCCCAAGAAACCCCAGCACCAGCTCCTGGTAGAGCCCACAGGAGTCCCGCCGGAGCCTCCAGGACAGGTTGCCGCCCAGTTGCCTGCACTCAGGGGAGCACAACGTCCAGATCATTGCGCTTCCTTCTTCTTGCATTAGGATCTCACCGAGACCTTGCAGTCAGAGCTGAGTGGCAAGTTCGAGAGGCTCATCATGGCCCTCATGTACCCACCATATAAATATGAAGCCAAGGAGCTGCACGATGCCATGAAGGTAACTAAGCGGGTGGGGTAGGAGAGGATTGGGTGGGGTCGCTGCTGGGGATGCCTTCCTCAAGGGCGCCTGGCACTGGGACCTCCGAGCTCCCCTTGAGCCACTCTCTGGAATGGCCCAGCCCGGGGAGCCTGCAGCGTGCTGACCAGGCAGGCCGCCTTCAGCCATCATGCGGCCACGAGGAAGCCAGAATCAGCACTTCTCAGGACAGCGCCAGACCAGGTGTGCAGGAACAACAGAACAACATCTGCAGTCTCTGCCCGGTCCCTTGGATCTCCTATGACCCCCATTGCTCCTTGAGCACTTGCAGAGAATAAGGAGGGAGTCAGGGTCCAGCAACTCTAATTATCTCCATTGAAAGGACACTCACTGGGTGTGCATGCCTGGCATTTCCCGTCTGTTCCCTCTAATCCACCTTTGGGGTGGGCTGGCTCTTTATCCCCGAGAACTTACGAGGGCCCCTAGGCTCGGCAAAGTGGAGTGACGTGCTGGAGACCACCTAGCACAGAGGGCAGAGTTGAGACAGAACTCTGCGATGGCCTCACCTGCCCACAGGATCCGCCCCTGGAGACAAACACAGGCGACTTCCCCCAGTAACACCCCCCAGCAGAGGCCCCCATCAGAGGGGAAGAGGGTACTGACCGGCTCTTCCGGAGGCTCTTCCTCTCGCCTCTTGACGGAAGAGCCCAGGCAGAGCTCTCCAGCAGACAGAGGCTTTTGTCTACAGGGCTTGGGGACCAAAGAGGGTGTCATCATTGAAATCCTGGCTTCTCGGACCAAGATCCAGCTGCAGGAGATAATGAAGGCATATGAGGAGGGTAAGGGAGGGCGCGGGGCCTAGACATAAAGGCTCACTTGGGAATGGCCACAAGCTTTGGCAGACTGGTAGGGGATGAGGGACAAGCAGTACACTGGGCCTCACTAGAAAAGACCCTTTCTGGGCCTTACTACATATGCGTGCTGAGCACCTTAGTGTGTGCCCAGTCCTGTGCCTGATGGTCTCTAAGCCCCCTGAAGCCCACGGGCTGCTGGGGAAAGGGACATGTATCCCTAAACTCTCTGCCCCTCGAGGGCCTGGCAGCACTGTGGGTCCCGGGCTGTGTCAGTACTGGATGGGTCTGGCTCCTTCCTGGCCAGGCACACGCTGACCCTGGGGACCGTGCAGGGCCCTGTTGCAGTGGGGGCTGTGGACCACAGGCCAGCTATGATGGAGCCTACGGGATGCAAGGCAAGCAGAGGCCAGCCTGGCCTCCATGTGGTCTGCCTGGCAGGCAATCTGCCTGAAGGTTCTGGCTTTGCCAAACCACAGATAAAGCAGAGCTCGGTAGGCAGCCCCCAGCGGGGCTCTCTGGCCTGACCTATCCCTGCACTTCGAGCCAGGTTGGCAGTCTGTGTTGTTTCCTCATTCTGAATGACCGCCAGGTGATGGAGCCTCTGCCATTCAGACACCTGGGCAGTGCATCCACTCCGCTGACTAGTCCTTACCAGAAGGCTTTAACTGGGAGAAGTGTGGGAAATGGGGCGGGGAGGAGGAAAGTGGATCTGTGTCTCATGGTCCTGTTTCCCCTGCAGACTATGGGTCCAGCCTGGAAGAAGACATCCAAGCAGACACCAGCGGCTATCTGGAGAGGATCCTGGTGTGCCTCCTGCAGGTATCAGAGCCCAGGCTCCTGGGAGCCCCTTGCCTGAGGGACCCGAACAGCTGGGCTCCAGGGAGCAGTTCTTGGGGAGAGCTGCTGGGGTGGAGTGGGGTCAGGGCCTGGGTAGAGCCCCAGTGGCCTGGGCTTCTTGGATACCTCTCAGCTGGGCTGGAGGATTCTTACACCCACACGTCCCTGACACGGCCGCATGGGGGCACCCCAGAATCGGGAGGAGAGTGCCCCATCACTTAGCAGGTCCTACACACCACACCCCATGCCTGGCACTCCGCTTACCTTAGCTCACTGAATCCCGCAGCTCCCTACGAGGTCGCCCTTACTACTCTCATTTTATAGATGACAAAATCGGGCCCTGGAGAGGGTAATTAGCCTGCTGACGTCCCCGTGGCCAAAACGCCGTCGAGCCCTGCCTGCCCTCCTGCCCAGCTCTCCCTGCTGCCCCAGTTGTTCTGCTGGGGTAGCCTGCCTCACACAGCCACCCCTTCTGTTCCCAGGGCAGCAGGGATGATGTGAGTGGCTTTGTGGACCCAGGACAGGCCATCCAAGATGCACAGGTGAGGCTACGTACATACACCCTTGGCAGCTTCTGCCCTGTGGGCCACCTGCCCCATCCTCTGGGGGCTAACGCCTGGAAGCCTCACCCAGCCCCTCTGTCCAGGCGTGCTTTCTTTGACACTAGGCTTGGCTGAGACCCAGATCAGCTCTCTGCAGACCTTCCCCCTCTGGTGTTCCAGAAGGAAAGTGAAAGTGTTGGGGAGACTCGGGAACAGGAAGGGGAATGACTTGGGAGGGGTCCACTGAAGCTCTGTCCTAGCAAGAACAGCCCACGAACCTGGGGACCAGATGGGACTCTTCAGATCACTATAGTTCAGTCTGTTGGCAGAGTGCTTGGAGATGTCCAGCGGCAGAGCAAAGTCCCAGGGGGAGGCAGGAGAGTTCCCAGAGCAGCGCCTGGCCTAGTATCCAGAAGGGGTTTAACCTCTCAGGGATAGCAAGAGAGGAGAATGCTGACCTGGTGGGTGGATGGGGGCTGACCCTCACCTCCTTGCTCTCCTTCGCTGGCTTCTTGCGGCTGCCCCAATGCTAGGATCTGTACGCAGCAGGGGAGAAGATTCATGGGACCGACGAGATGAAATTCATCACCATCCTGTGCACACGCAGTGCCACGCACCTGATGAGAGGTACCGGGGAGGGAGGAGGCACTGTCCTTCACACGGGCCATCCAATGTGCATCCTTGCCTGGTCATGACGCTGGGAAGAGAGCCAGGGAGACTTGGACCTTCCTGGCAACCAAGTGGAGGTCAGGGGGGACACGTTGATGTGCAGTCTCAGATCTGAGACACTGGGGGCATCACACTGAGATCTACATATCCCTTAAGAGAAGACGTCTCTCTACAGTGTTTGAGGAATATGAGAAAATTGCCAGCAAGAGCATTGAGGATAGCATCAAGAGTGAGACCCACGGCTCCCTGGAGGAGGCCATGCTCACAGTGGGTAAGAGATGGGGCTTGGTGCTCAGACACACAGGTGTCCGCAGCCACGGGGCCCAGCAAGGGGGCAGTTCCCTGGGGCGGCAATAGCAAGCGACTGGGTCCCTACGTCCACCTTCAAGGGACCCCTCCCCCTCCAGGCCACACACACACACACACACACACGTACCCTTCAGCCCAGGACACTGGGACTATCCTACCCTCGCGTCTTCAGTATGCCGTGCCCTGCCCCCATAATCCCTGTGCTGTGTGAGTGTGCGAGCATGAGTGTGAGCATGGCACATGTGAGAATATGTGAGTATGTGAGTGTGTGTGCACGTTTGCAGGATTATGCCTGACCCAGGGCCTGTACTCATCCATAGCAGCCACACAGGGAACATTCTGGTTCTGATTATAAAACCCTAAAGGAAGTCTCCTGTCTTGACCTTAGCCAGGGGCCTGGTCTCTGCCTCAGTTGTTCATTGAAGAAATGATGGTGTATAGTTGGAGTCCAAACTCAGTGACTGATGGTCTGACACTGGGGAGCACAGAGAACCTTCCCTCAAGCACGACGTCAGGTCTACTTAGGAGGACCTGGTCCAGACCACATCTTGGGGTGCATTACTGAGGTCACAGTAAGGAGAGTCATTGTGCAGTGAGGAGCTGAGGCCCAGGGGCAGAGGGACTTTTCCTCTCCTCCTTCCCATGATGGAGCCAAGGTCAGGGCCCTAGGGCTAGGGCACTCATCTCCACAACAGACTGTCTCCATTCTCTGCCGGGCAGCCAGGGGAGCTCCACAACATGTCCGGGGCTTTCAGAGTGGACTGGGACATCTGACCATCCCCACCAGGCTGTGACTGCTGTGATAAAAACCAGTCTATGTTGGAGTAGCTCAGCATACCCCCTGCTCCAATCTCAGCAAATCAGCCCCTGCATTGAGTTTGAACAACCTCCTGAATAAATCATCAGGCAGGGAAAAGCAAAGGTGCACAGTGCCTCCTGTACTGGGCACTTCCTATTCACTTCTCCTTGAAGACTCCCACCATTCACTCCATAGACAAGGACAGTGCAAAGCAGGAAGGTCAAAGAATGAAGTCACACCATGCTATCAGGGGAGAGTCGAACACCTGCCTCCTTCACGCAAAGCCCACGCTCTTTCTGCTGCCCTGAGCTAAAGTGCCAAGCTCCCTGACCCAGATGCCAAATCTCTGAAGCAGCATCCATGAAAGCAAACAGGGGCCCACCCTCTGGGCCAGATGTCCCTAGGTGCCCTAGTGCTCCAGGGCTGGGCCCCATTGTCACGTGAAAATTCAAATGCAGGGACCTTCCTGATAAGTGAGGAGTAAAGTGGACACCCCGAGGCTTCCTTCCCTGTCCCACCCCACCCAACGCCAAGCCTCTCATTTTGGAACTAGGCAACACATAAATAAATAGGCCAAGAACTGCATAATGCTCACGCTTAAGATCCAAGACAAGACATAAATAAATACACATGTATACAATGTCACCTACAACGTCTAGTGTTAACAGAGCTTTCCTGTTTGCCAGTGAAATGCACCCGGAACCTGCACAGCTACTTCGCAGAGCGACTTTACTACGCCTTGAAGGTAACTCTTCTGTCTTCGGTGCCCCCTGTTCTCAGCCCTCCTCAGCACCAGCCGCCAAGCCAAGCGCTCAGAGCCACCACTGCCTTTGACACTTGTGTCTTCTCTAATTCCAGCCTCTTGTGAACAGAATGCTAGAGCTCTCCAAGGGTAAAATAAGTCTGGGGAAGGGAAGCCACAGCTCCTGGGGGCTGAATTGGAGCAGGTTTTTTCACGGGTGTGCATTGTTGCACCGACCTCTTACAACAATCCCGTGAGACCCATGTCATAACTGCCGCCCTAGAGATGGTGAAGCAAAGTCTTGTGGTCAAGGTCACCCAGCTGGTGACTGGCAGAGTCTCCATTTGAACCCAAGCCAGGCCAGCTGTCCTTTTGATCCCACCACGTGAACTCCTTGGGAGAGCACAGGTCAATGCTGCCAGGAAGTCAAGGCACCCTTTGAATGGACGTTCAGACGGAGATGGCTACACGTGGCACTCAACTTCCGTGTGCCTGCCAGGGATGCCGAGCTGGCTTTGTCTTTGTCCAAGAGGCTGCACTGGGCATTCAAACAGACGTCCTAGCCATTTGTACTGGGTGGAGTTTCTGGCACCTGGAAGCCAGAAACTGGAAGATAATCAGAGGGATTCCCTGAGCCTGAAGTCAGTGCCCACCTTCTGTGCGCTGACACCACTGGAAGTTAGAACCCCAAGTTCTCTGGCCAGAAAGTGAGAGAGGGCGTGGGGTTTCCTTGGCCATTGGCACCTTCCGACAGGAGACTAGTCCAAGATGAAAGTAGGCAGGAAGGTCCTGCTTGAGAATTGGCCAGGTAAGCTGAATTTCCTGGTGCTGTTCCTCTAGGAAGAAGGCTTGCTCCTAGAGCAGTGAGTGTTCTTGTCTAAAATATGATGTGGCAAACCAAACACACACAGCACTTTGGGGCATTTGGCTCCCAATAAAGACAGACATGTGGGCGGTGAGGGAGAAGAGATGAAGGGAACAGAAACCCTGAGTCACTACAGCACCCCTCCCAGTGCTTCGCCACCTGAAGCAGAGGCTCATTCCCACATCTCCGGCCTCCTGTGAAAGCCCCCTGGCCCTAGAGCACAGATTTGTCCATCATCACAGAGGTGGGCAGTGAATGTTGATTGCTGTGTCTTGTCCAGGGAGCAGGGACACGCGATGGGACCCTGATAAGAAACATCGTTTCGAGGAGTGAGATTGACTTAAATCTTATCAAGTGTCAGTTCACAAAGATGTACGGCAAGACCCTCAGCAGCATGATCATGGTAAGTCAGGGGTTCCCAAATCTATCCCCACTTTGAAGCAGAGGCATTAGTAGGAGACCTGGATGCTGGGACCAGAGTCCTACGTCACATATGTCCATCCCTTCCCAGTGGGGGTCACACCCTTGCATTCATGGCTATACAGTGTGTATAGAGATCAGCAAGGGGGATGGTGCGGCTAGGGCCCGAAGGGGGCTTGGGCAGGTGCAGAGATCAGACCATGGAGGCCCCTGTACTTGGCGCCCAGAGTTGGCTTTGCATTTGAGTTATGGTTGCCCCTTTGGAAATGACACAACGAACTTTGCCAAGGAGACCATATCTGAATGTCGAGGATGGTAAATAGTTCAGTAGGAATCAGGCAGCTGCCTTCAAAATCCAGACTGAAGTAGTCCTAGCAGCATGATTTTAAGGAGATAAATCAGATGGGCTCCAGTGGGTTACCTACCTAGATGCCAGTCAATGAACATTCTGGAGCTGAGAAAACGCACCATCGCACCATCACACTGCCATAATGGTGAGAGTAATAGCTCTTCTAGAAATTAATGCAAATGAGGTCTTGACCATTTCATCAAGAGAAATCAAACCTCAAGAAGTATATCCCCAAGTCTTCATTGGCTCTTAAGTCAAGTCTCTAGTTATTCTACAAATGTCTGTTGTCAGCCACACTTTCCAAGACACACATAGCTCACAATATGTTAAAAAGACATTTCTATTTTAAGATGTTTCAGAAAGGGGCCGTAGGTAGGTGGGGATGAGGGATGGTGGAATTATTCTTCACTTTGTTTTTGGCTTTCCAGCCAGTCTTGTCAAAAGACAGGAGGGCTACCCATAGACCAGCCCAGGCTGTTGATGGCTTTGCCAACATCCAATCCCGGCGGAGTGTTAGGAATTTTTTCTCCCATCCATAATTTCTGTGGCATCAGGAAGATTCCTCTACCTTCTCACCATCATGATTAGATTGAGCCAGAGTCAGACTTGAGAGGAACAACCACACTGAGCAAAAAGGATCACTTTGACCCATCCAGGGTGTAGACTTCACGATGGAGAAAGCCTTAGCAGGCTAATTAGCACATGATCAATATAATATTGATCAATCGATAACAGAGTCCCCTGTCTAGACATACAAGAAGCCCACCCTCTATAGGTTTTGCCTATGACTTTTGTTTAAGAAAACTGAGTTGGAATTGTGACTCAGGTGGCCAAATTTCTTTTTAGTATAGACCACTCTCTGTAGATGTCATCAAAGCAAAATGATTTCCAACAGTGATACCAGCATTAAAAACTCCTGCATAGAAATTAATAGGAAAATTTATAAAAACCCCATGCATAACTTTAGACCCATGCATTTAAAAAGATAGACAAAATGAATACAGTTTTCTAAAATCACAAAACAACACAAAAACAAAAATACCTTATTATAAACATTGTGTTGAAGAAAGAAAGAAAGAAAGAAGAAAGAAAGAA